CATATCTGAAAAAAAATCTTAGAATATGAGAAAATTGGTGAATGTCACAAATTCTCCTAAATCACTCGTACGCACAACTTAAGAACAAATCTGTGCGTACGAACGGTTCTTGCATGAGGTCCAATGTTGGGATGGACAGCTCAGAGAGAATTGTCTGAAACATGTCCTCAGAGTATTGTTCTGTTTCTGAACTGGATGACATGTTTATGTTTCATCCATGTTCAGTTTTGATTGAATAAGAGTTGACTTTTAGTGTTTTTGCATTTTGTTCTTTTACCTGACCCTGAACTGACTCTGGCTTCTACCACATTAAATTAATTAATAAACAGCTAATAAATGAGTTATTATTGAGCTGAGTTGTGCAGCCAGTGATTACTCTGAGAGTTTTACTCTGATCCATCCACTGGTTCTTGAGATATTTTGCTAACACTCCACACTCAGAAAACATAATTGCTGTTGGTATCAGGAGATAATTTCCTTGTAGATGGATGACATGAAGGAGTGTTATAAAGGTGTAGCACTCTCAGGTGTTGCTCAGCAGATGACATCATCTTGTCTCTCTTCAGTCGCAGACACGTCTCCTTTTGGTGTCCAGGCTGAGGTCACCCTCAAGACAAACTTCTTTGCCACCAGAGACATGCTGACCCACTTCCTGCCACTCATCAAAGCTGGAGGTAAGACCCCGGCTGGGTCCAGAACCCTGAACTGAATTCCATCACCGTCTTGACCCAGTGTGCTAACTCATACATGGAACTTCTCCTTTGTCCGTACAATTTACTCCAAAAATATATATATAAAACGGAGGTGCCAAACAAAAATGAACAGAAAAAGTAAGAAATAAAAGCAGATAACGTCAAATTTACACAGAAAAAATTAGAAACAATATGAATAACGTACATGTAATACTGTATGTATAAAGCTAATAAAAATGTGTTACCTTCAAACATCCAATGTAATTCTGCTAAAAGGGAAATCTGCTATAATTTGAAGGGACTACAAATGTTTGTTAAACCAAAAATTCGAACAAATTTGAAGGACAGATGTGTAAGGGTCAGCTTACACTTCTTATAACAAGGTTATAAGAGTAATTTAATTAGCAAGGATCTCTTTTAATGTTTGGATAAACATTTCTTTAGCGCAAGAATGAATGGACTCAAAAAGTAACTCTCAGTCAGTGAATGTTGATTTGAACCATAATATGCGATCATTTATTTTACAAATCATACAAAATTGACTATAGAGTACACCTGATTGTGAATAATTAATTTCCTATAAAAAGTTTTGGGACCAACAATAACAAGCTTTTAACTTCTTAATTGTTAACCACACTTAAATAGAAAYACAAACGTCAGCTTAGATGTTAAATACCAGACATTTGAGGCTGTTTATCTTAGGAGTTGGCAAGGACAAGGTTAAGGAAAAGGAGGAAGAAAGGTGTTAGCTTTTCTACACTTTATCTTAAATAATGTGGGTTTTAACCAGAAGGGCGAAGCGTTCTGTGCTCAGCTTTGGTCAGACCTC